GGACCCATCCGAGAAGGCCCCGCTTCAATATTATTGTCAACTTATATCATAGGAGAATAAAAGAATAGAAAGAATAAAACAGGTTAAAACAGAGAAAGGTTATATATGTTGTGTTGTCAATAGTAAGAGAAGCAATTGAGACCCTGCAATTGTGTGTAAATGAGGCAGAAAAACAAATCAGCAACCTGGGACTTGGTCACAATTTTTGTGATGCCATATGGCAGCAGGATCTACCATTAGACAACACATTATGCTTCAAATATGTTCCCAGGCGGTAGTACCTCCCTGTTTGGTAGTTGCCTACTACCTACTACCTACACTCCCTCACACCCCCTCTGTCTCCTTCCCTCTCCCTCACTTTCCATTACTCTCTCTCAGTCTCCCTCATCACTCCCTCACACTCCCTTAAACTCCCTCATTCTACCTCATTCTCCCCCAATCTCCCTCATTCTCGCTCACACTGCCTTACTCTCACTCTGTCTCCCTCACTCTCCCTCACACACCATTACACTCCCTCAGTCTCCCTCATCACTCCTTCACACTCCCTCACACTTCCTTACATTCTTTCAATCTCTCTTACTCTCTCGCTCTCTTTCTCTCTCTCCCTCAATGCTCTCTCACTCTCACACTCCTTTTAACACTCTTTCACTCTCCCTCACACTCCCTCACCCTTTCACTCTCCCTCAACACTCCCTCACACTCCCTCACCCTCTCACTCTCCCTCAACACTCCCTCACACTCCCTCAATCTCTCTCTCACTCTCCCTCAACGCTCCTTCACACTCACTCACGACACAACGGGAAGATAACCGCTCCAGCTCCCGCTAAACAACCCGTTCAGCAGATTCACAATCACACGTTACCTTCTGTTGTCAGGTAAACACGGCCACCTGAGGGGGGAAGGTGAGACAGATACAGATTCAGCTACAGCTATAGCTACAGGTTCACATTCAAGTACAGTACACATACGCAGATAGGGACAGGAGTATCTGTACTGGTATAAGTACGAGTACATATATAAATATTGGTGAAAATATTGAACAAGTAACTGCTCAAATTCATAAATACATGAGTAAATACAAATTCATATATACTTTTAAGTGTACAGATATGTGAGTACAGGTGAAAATACAGTGATATAGTCGAGACCACTAACTCCCAGACCAAGACCTACTGTGGGAGACGGAGACTGAGACCGAGACCAATATTAGCCTTTATTTCTGTCTGGGCATAATCCGAGTTCTTAGGACTATTCGTTTGGTCAAAAACTTGGGGCTTTAGATCATACAAGTGTGTACCAACTACCAAATGACTCGAGTTTTTTTCAATTGAATTATATAAATATGAGTATTTAGATATACACGCGGTACTTTTTATTTATTCATTACGTCTGTTACATAAAAACTCTTTGATCATATCAAAATAATTTATTTTTCTCTTCATTTAACCCAATGAGGATGATGTTTTAACCCTTCGAAGACGATGTGTTAATCCTTTCGATGCCAATGATTTAACCCTTTGAGGATAATGGTTTAACCCTCCAAAGACAATAGTTTAAACCTTTAAGGACGATAATTTAACCCTCCAGGACTCAAAGGGTTAAAACGTGAGAAGTGTTCATTATACTTTAGAAACATCACCCAACTCAACCGGAGTACTAGAGTTTGCCACAGTTACCATGGTCATTGCCAGATTGACCAGTGGTGGACACTTAACCATGTTCTGCTCCCACAGCTGAGTTAGCCCTAAGATAATTGACCGTGATAGTAGTGAGGTGAGGTGTTATAAAAGAACACAAGTTCATAAGAATGGAGAAAACTGCAGCGGGCCTTTTGGCCCATACTGAGCAGTCCAGTTTACATCCAACCCCTATAGTTCATATATCCGTCTAACCTATAATTGAAGCTATCCAGCGTGTTCGAGTTTATGATGATGTTTGATAACTTGTTCCGCTCATCCATTACTCTATTTCCAAACCAGTGTTTACCCATCTCGCGCCTAAATCTAAATTTGTCTAATTTAAACCATTGCTACGAGTTCATTGCTGGTTGGATAATTTAAGTACACTTGTTATATCACCTTTGTTTAACCATGACTTCCGTTTATACACCTCAATCATATCGCCACCTCACTCCACGTCTCTTAGATGCTTTAACCTGTCTCTATATTCAAGGTTCCTAATGCCCGGGATTACTCGTTTCATCCTCCTCTGTATGCTTTCTAGGGCTTTGATATCCATTCTGTAGTGCGGTGACCAAAACTAAACTGCATAATCCAAGTGAGGTCTCACAAGAGCAAGCTATAGTTTTAGGATGACTCGCTAGTCTTGTAACCAACACTCCTTTGTATGAACCCAAGTACTTTATTAGTCTTATTTCGAGTAAATATGCATTGTTGTCTTGGTTTAAGAATTAAAATTTCAGATATCTGTCTTTCGCACAGTCGGATTTCTCCTATACCAGCATTCTTCATCTGATATCTGGTTTCTCTGTTTACATCTCCTAGGCTAAGTACTTTACATTTGTCCAAATTAAATTTCATCTGCCATTTTTCAGACCATGCGAATTTTTATTTTTTTATCTTCCTGTAGTTTTGTCGAATCTTCGTCAGATTCAATTACACGCCCTATTTTAGTGTCGTCAGAAAATTTACTTATGTTGTTGTCTACAGTACGTCTATATCTATGTCGTTTATGTATATAATAAATCGTAATGGTCCAAGTACTGAGCCTTGGGGTACTCCACTAGTGACGTTACACCAAATCGGATTTAGTGCCAACAATGCTGACTCTGTTTCCTGTCCTGTAGCCTCACCCTAATCCAGTTTAGAATATCTCCTCCAATTCCATGAGCCTCCATTTTGCGTATTTGTCTTTCGTGGGGGACCCTGTCGAAGTCTAAGCTAAAGTCGAAGTAAACCACATCATAATCGTGTCCATCATCCACTTAAAACCAGCTAAAAAGAATGATAATAGATTTGTCAGACATGACCGCCCACTTGTGATGAAGCCATGTTGGGAATCATTGATCAATTTGTGTTTCTCGAGGTGATTTCGAATTGATTTGAAATTATTGCTTCCAGTAATTTGCCTACAATTGTTGTTAAGCTAATTGGATGGTAGTTTGAGGTTAGTGATCTATCTCCCTTCTTGAAAATCGGTATCATATTCGCTATCCTCCAGCATTCTGGTACTATACCGGTTTTTAATGACATGTTAAACAAGTTTCCTAAGGGCATACCAAGTTCTTCCTTAAACCCCTTTAATTCTCTGGCAAATATCTCATCGGGACCAGGTGACTTATTAGGTTTTAGTTCATCTATTTGTTTACTAACGTCACTATTAGTCACTACTATGTCGCTGAATCTATTTTCTTCACTATCTCTGTAGACAGTCGGTGCCTCGGGTATCAAGTTTAAATTTTCGGTTGGAAAAACTAACGAAAAATATCTGTTGAGATTATTGCTCATTTCTCCGTCGTTATCAGTTAGTTCACCGGTAATGGTGACTGTAATGGTCCGATCTTTTCTCGATTTTAGTTTCATACATTTGGACAAATCCACTACCTGAACCCAAACTTAACCAGGTGACAACCCCCTCTCAACACATCACTGGTCCAGATATAAGTACGTACGGGTAATTTAGATACAACTTCAAGTATAGATATTAGGACAAGAAAAAATAACAGGAGACGATGCATTGTTAACATTCAAGGACAGTGTAAATATCTCCCTTGATTTCTGCTACCATCACTACCACCACCACATCCGTCACCACATCCTGCCCAACATCTTATCCTTGGCTGTGTTAATCCGGATATATCCAAGAGACGAAGCAAAACCCACAACACCTTCATATCTTCATTATCTCACCTCACCTAACCTCAAAAAGAATCTGGTCTTTTTTTTTAAAATGTTTTGGTTCATTTGATTTTGGATATCTTTAAACATTTTCTGTATCGCTTCTTTGTGTTTCTATATCGCTTATGCGTGTTTTTGTATCACTAATATGTGCTTGTGTATCCCTTCTTATGTTGTATGTTAAAAAGTTCTTAGAGCAAGATCTTAAAGGAAGTCTTAATTGTCAGAGAAAATACTGGAGAGGCCAAGAACCATCCAACAACTACTCAACTGGTGTAATTTACCGCTGAACAGACATCTTCCGGACACGACTGGCTGGATCGCGTCAATAAAGAGTAAAATCGAGGCCGCCGTTGCTTGAGATTGGTCGTCATTTAAGTTCTGTTGAGACAAAGACGCGAGTATAAGAGAGTTTGATCCCATTGTTTAACTTCATTAACTGTTTTAGCTCTTATAGTGACTAGATGTAATGGAATTTATGCATTAGCTGCGTTATTGTGTCATTATTTATAGTGCATTAGTTGTAAAAATGATATAAATACGAGAGTTGAGACAAAAAGTGAGTATCTAGAGATTTTGATCCTTTTTGTGTTACAACATGATCTGATTTGATTCTTACAGCGACTCATAACTCGTATACTGTAGTGACTCGAGGTGAAGGAATTTATGCAGTAGTTGTGTGTTAATAGTCGTGGGTTAACCTTCATGGTGTATTAGTTGTGTAAATTATCAAAGACGTGAGTGTAGAGGACTTGACGTCAGGGTGTCTCAAGGATCATGCCTCAACATTGTTATTCACGATCTTCTTTTGCTTCCTGTTCATGATGGTCTTTATTTTAATTATTGACGTTGTGCGTTTGTTTCTTGTTCACGAAGTTCCTTTGTTTCTTGCTCACGCTGTTCTTTTGTGTATTAAATTCAAGATCTTTTGTTTCTTGTTGACGTTGATCTTTTGTTTCCGAATAAAAATAGATAAACTTTCTACCAATAATTTATATTTATAATTGTACCTATATCCATACCTCTGTACCTGTACTTTAATATATAAAACTGCACATGTATCCTCGCCTTTACATACCTCTACATAAACCCTTTAAATACCAATACCTTACCAGCCTTACTGTCCCCTCCTTCACTTTTCAGTATTGAACGTGGCAGCAGGGAAGGCACCTATGCAGTCTTCAGTTGCAGAAGGAGGCATACCACAGAAGGCAGTAGATGGCTCCAGCGCCACCACCTTCAATCCAGATACCTGTACCCTCACCAAGGCAGAGAGACAGCCATGGTGGTACGTCAACCTACTTGAACCTTACATGGTACAGCTCGTCAGGCTCGACTTTGGCCAATCTTGCTGTGGTAAGTTGGTTGTTGATGTTGTTGTTGTTGTTGCTGTGTGTGTGTGTGTGTGTGTGTGTGTGTGTGTGTGTGTGTATAAACTTATAAAGGTTTGGTTCTTGGTGATGAATATGATAATGATGATAATAATGACAATTATAATAATTATAGTGATAATAGTGTTACTGGTAATAATAATAATAATAATAATAATAATAATAATAATAATAATAATAATAATAATAATAATAATAATACTTAATAACAATAAAAAATAATAATAATATATAAATTATTCTTACCGTTGTTATTAATAGTATTGTTGTTTTAATTATCACTATTGACAATAATACCACATGCACATTAACAAGAAATTCCCCCTCCCTCAGGTAACCAGCCAGCAACTATCGTAGTGCGAGTGGGGAACAACCGGCCAGACCTCGCTGTCAACCCTGTATGCAACCGGTTTATTGGTCTGCTGGAGGAGGGTCGCCCGCTCTTCTTGCCGTGTAACCCACCTATGCCTGGAGCCTTCGTTAGCGTGCACTTTGAGGCTCCTCCAGGGGTCCAGCTCTCCATCTGCGAGGCCTTTGTTTATACTGACCAGGTGAGTTGGAGGAGAGAGAGAGAGAGAGAGATAACCAGGTGACTTGTGGGAGGTGGGAGAAGGTGGGGGTGAGGGGTTGAGAGAGAGAGGTGACTTTTTTAGTTTAGAGACTTTATTGGCCAACCCTTGGAGTACAATTTTCCTATTCTGAATAATTCAGTCAGGTCTTGACACTGGCTGTGCTATCATTTCTCACTGCCACGCAGGATAGAGGTTCATACACAATGCTGATAATAGTATAAGCCATATTCATTAATAGTATAGGTCATATTCATGAGGGTGATATCACTGTTCACTGCCACTCAGGACATTGGTTCATACTCATTGTAAGTCATATTCATTAGTGTTATATTTTGTTTGAGGACCAATTAGTGTGAACTAGCAAATTTATGATAAACTGCAAGAATATCCTCAAGCACTCCTTATTCAATGTAGTAATTACATAGTTCATGATACAATAAGCCAGGTGGCCTGAAGTCTCTGATAGTGTCACATTCAATAAAATAATGTTCAAGTGTATGCTTTAAGGGTTTATCACAAAGTTCACATGATGAGTGTTCCGGTATGGGTACAGCGTTACTAACTTGTCAGATGTGTCTGTATCCTAACCTAATTCTGGTCACGACTACATCACATTGTCTGGTTATGTCCTTGTGCTGGCCATACCGATACTTATTGTCACTAAATTTGTCGTATGTACGAATGCTACAACTGTTAGCCCTCTGTGCGTTTCTCAGTTCTTCTCGATCAAAGTTCATGATTTTAACATGTATATTTTTAGGTACAGCATAGGACAAGCCAAGGTCCCGGTCTACATTTTCTTTCTAACATGCCTCATTTGACAGTCTATCAACCCGGTCATGATTTATAATTCCAAAGTTGGACGAAATCCATACAAATTCAATATGAAGGTTGTTCTCCTAAGCAGTTATCACGTTTCTTTTAATATCACGGACAACTTTAGACATAGAGCCTGGCGGTCTGTTCATCGATTGCAAAGCACTTTGGGAGTCACAGAATAATATCTCACCGTCATTGTCTTTAAGGTTGTCTGTGGCTTAATAGATCCCCTTTAGTACAGTTTGTGTTGTGCTGGCTTAGTTGTTCAGTCTTTGCATGTTTGACACTCATTTTATTTTATTTATATATTACTCAAGCACAACCTGATCTACCTGTGTTTGTCCGTACAGAACCACCAACAAAGGCATAACGTTCACTTAATTTAATACTGTCAATGTGACTTAATAGTTTCTAGTGACCAGGTGAGCTGTGGAAGAGGGCGAGGGGATGAGTGAGAGAGAGTTAAAAGAATATTTCATAAAGAGGGACTGCGAAATAAAGAATAAGATATAAAGAGAATGATAGACAGACAGATAGACAGACAGACAGACAGACAGACAGACAGAGTTTTACTACCAGCCTCCTTCCCCGAATTCTACCTCCGTCCCTAATCTAACAGGACCCCCCCCCCCCCTCTTTAGCCTAACTCTCGTTCCTTCCCTACCTCCCTAACCTAACTCTTCCTCCCTACCATCCCTTACAACCGATCTAAGTCAGGTTGGGAGAATACTGATCCGTAATAATATTAATTTAATCTGCTTATTATTAAAAGGTGATCTAGACAGGCGTCAATAGGTCAATTGTTGCTTAATTGTGAAGGAGAAAACCCAGAGTGAAAAATACACTTAAAACAAACTAATATTACAAGGAAAACTCACGCACGAACATTACAAGGCAAAACAGAATGGTAACTTATATATAATTTAAATTCATATCAAACATCCTAAATATTATACCTAACAATAATAACAAGAATAACTTATCTGTCGAGTTGAATACAGGTCAGCCACATGAGTAAAGAAAATAAATACCCAAACAACACCAAGAGAATTGGGGAAGCAGCTCCGACGGACAATATAGTCAGTGGGAATTTAAGGTCCTCTGGTGTTCACCACCGGAACAACAGTACCTAGCCTTATGGCTGTTATGCAAAAACTAGCTAATTTGAATAAATCAACTAAATAAATGTACTTTACATGTCATATTACTATAAAATAGTCCAAATAATATAATTAGAATATTATATATACAATACTGTATACCTGGATTTATATGAGCAATGAAATCACCAATACCTGATTCACTGGAACTCTCCGTAATCCGAGTCATCTCGACTAAGGACTCATGACACCCTAACTCAGCTCTCTCTCCTGCCCTCCCTCCCTAACCCAGCACTCCCTCCCTCCCTAACCCAGCACTCCCTCCCTCTTTCCTTTTCAAACTTAACTCTCCCTACTGACCTTCCTAACGTAACTCTTCCTCCTTCACTCCCTTACTCCCTCCCTAACCTAACTCAACCTCCTTCCCTTCCTCTAACCCAAAACGCCCCTTCCCTATCGCCTACCTAACCTAACTCCCCCTTTCTTTCTCCCTTCCAACCTAACTCTTCCTCCCTTTCTTCCCCCAATAACTTAACTCTCCCTATCTACCTCCCTAACCTAAGTCTCCGTCTCTTCCTGCCTACAGGCACTACCTATAGAGCGTTGCCCGTCATTCAGGGATCAACCACCAGGGAGCACCGCGACCTACGACGGCAAGTGCTACATCTTCTACAGCCAGCAGCCCAAGAACTTCGACAATGCCCTGGAATTCTGTCGCAGCCGAGGCGGTTCACTGGTGGACGAGACCAACCCGGCACTACAGGGGTTCCTCAGCTGGGAGTTGTGGCGCAAACACAGGTAATGGTCGAGGTTGTTTATTGTGAAAACAATGTTGATGGTCAAAGTTGCTTATGATGTAAACAATGATGATGGTCGAAGTTGATTCTGGTGTAAACAATGTTGATGGTCGAAGTCGTTTATGGCGTAAACAATGGTTTTGGTAGATATTTTTATTATGTAAATAAAGGTGATGGTCGAGGTTGTGTATGGTGCAACAATGGTGTTGGTCGAGATTGTTTATGATACAAACAATTATGAAGTACGAAGTTGTTTATGGTGCAAAAATTGGTGATGGACTAGGTTGCTTATGGTGCAAACAATGGTGCTGGTCGAGGTTGCTGAAAGTACAAATAATGGTGAAAATATATGTGGTGTTGGGGAATGTTCATGTTGCAAACAATAGTGGAAACACATTTAGTGTAGACTTTTGCTACAGTAGATACAGTTATTGGTAAAATCCGTTAATGGTGCAAACACAGATATTAATGAAAGGACTTTATGCTGTAGACAATACGGTGTGTCAGTTATGGTACAAAGTTAAGCAAACAATTTATTAATGACTAAACAGTTAATTTATGTCACAAACAATTACAAAGCAAACATTTCATATATGAAGAAAAAATAATAATTCAAGACGGAAAAACACTTGACTGAACCTTGCACTTTCCTATAATCTGCACTCGTAGGGTTGTTGGTGTGTTATCCAGGTTGGATGTGAGTAAGGTGCATGGACCGGACGGAATACACCCTCGTGTTCTGAAGGAGTGTGCTGCAGTTCTGGCCGCTGTGCTTTTTCGCCTTTGTCTCAAAATCCCAAATTTTCCTTCTTCTTGGAAGCATGCCTTGGTTCAGCCCATCCCGAAGAAGGGTGACCATTCCAATCCCTCTAACTATCGCCCCATTAACCTAACTTCATCCCTCTGTAAGATTTTCAAAAATATCTTTATCTATCATTTTCTTAGTCACCTTAAACGAAATTCTCTTTTGTCGGATCACCAGTATGGCTTTCGCCAGGCCAGATCTGCTGGTGATCTGCTCTCCTACTGCACCCATCTTTGCTCATCCTCTCTTAGGGATTATGGGGAAACTTTCGTCGTGGCCCTCGACATCTCCAAGGCATTTGACAGGGTATGGCACAAGTCTTTGCTTTCTAAACTTCCCTCTTATGGTTTCTCTCCCACACTTTGTTCTCTAATTTCTAGCTTCCTTGAGAACCGATCCATGGCAGTTGTTGTCGAGGGAAGGATCTCTCGCTCTTTCTCTACCAATAGTGGTGACCCTCAGGGTTCTGTTCTTTCACCTCCTCTCTTCCTCCTTTTTATCAATGATTTACACCACACTATGACTAATTCTATCCATTCTTACGCTGATGATTCTACTCTTCACTCTTCTTTACATTTTCCCCTTCCCCTAATTCTCAAATTAGATCTGTCTATTGAGCTGATGTCATTTCATCTATCAATGCGGATCTGTGCAGCATCTCCGAATGGAGAGGTAGAAACTTGGTTAAATTCAATCGTAATAAAACTCAGAATTTACCAATTACACTTTCCAAATTAGATGATCTCCCACCAATCACATTTCAGGACGCGAACATTCTGCCAAATTCTAAAATAGATATGCTAGGCCTCACCATTTCTTCTACTATGTCATGGAAGCCACTCATCCACAACATTGCTAAAGCTGCCTCCCGAAAGCTGGGAATGCTGTACAGATGCAGTAGCTACTTCACTCCTGAGCAGTTGCTTGGAGTACTGCTCTCATATCTGGGGTGGCTCTTCTTCTGTCCAACTGTTAGATAGGATGGAATCAAAGGCATTTCGTCTTAATAACTCTCCTCATTCAGATGATAATCTTTCTTCCCTTTCTCTTCGCTGCAATTTTGCCTCTCTCTCTCTCTCTGTTTTACAGGTACTTTAACGGGCAATGTTCGGTGGATTTGGCATCCTGTGTGCAGCCGGCAAGGTCGTGGGCTCGTAACACTCGTCTTGCCCGCGGTACCCACCGTTTCTCTGTGGATGTCGGTCACATTAGAATAACCCGTTATAGGAAATCCTTCTTTCCTCACACAGCCAAACTGTGGAATGCTCTGCCATCTTATGTGCTTCCATACTTATACAAATTGTCTCACTTCAAAAAGCTGGTTTTCCGACATCTTCGTGGTGTAGATTTATATAACCTTTTTCTTTTCTATTTTTAATTTCGTTTTACTCTTATTTTTTCGATGATCTGTTCCTGGGTGGGCTATTCCCCGTAAAAGAAAAATTATTAATAAATCACCCAATTAATTGATGATACAAAGAAATAATTTATGAAAGAAAACAATCAATCAAACACTTCATTAAAAACACAAAACAATTTATGCGACTCAAGGAATTAATTTTCGACACAGATAATTAGTTAATGACACAAGCAGCAACAGCAATACAGACTAATAAGCGGAAGACACATGTGACGGTAGACGCTGCATGTGACGTCGTAACGTCCAACTAACGGGTTACACACACACACACACACACACACACATGTGACGGTAGACGCCGCAGGTGACGCCGTAACGTCCAACTAACGGGTTACACACACACACACACATGTGACGGTAGACGCCGCAGGTGACGCCGTAACGTCCAACTAACGGGTTACACACACACACACACACACACACACACACACATTTAGTTTAACAAATTTATTGGCAGAGCTTGTAGTACAGTTTGCCTATTCTGAGTAATTCAGTCAGGTCTTGACACTGAGGGTGGTATCACTTCTCACTGTCACGCAGGACAGAGGTTCACACACAAAGAAATACATCATATTCATTAACAACTATAAATGTATATAGGTCAGGTTCAAATGGATAATGTCACTGTTCACTGCCATGCAGGACAGAGGTTCGTACACAAAGAGTTGCATCATATTCATTGACAGTACATATACATCAATGAATGATGTGTACGATTCCCTAGTGACGGTAGACGCCAGGTGACGCCGTAACGTCCAACTAACGGGTTACACACACACACACACACACACATGTGACGGTAGACGCTGCAGGTGACGCCGTAACGTCCAACTAACGGGTTACACACACACACACACACACACACACACACACATTAAAACACGTGCAGAGGTTGCGGTGCAAATAAATGTATACAAACACACAAAAATTTAATTGCTCAAACACACGTATGTTTCTAGTGGTCTAGACACGTCTGGGCAAACATAGGTAAGCAGTTAAAGCACACACACACACACACACACACACACTCACACACATTACTACTACAACTACTTTGCTGTCACTCGGAATCGAGTATGACGATCATCCAGCTATGATAGAACGATATGAGTTATTAAGGATGTCACCTTCATTAGCGAGTTTTGAGGTGATTAAAGAGGCCGATACGGGACCGGCAGAGTTGTTTACAGATGTTGCACATGTGGAGGGCACCATCTAGTGCGGGAGGGGGGGTAGCAGCGTCTTTCCGGCGTTGGCGCTTGTCTGCCTCGGTTTGCAATCGGGCTAACTGGAAAGTATTGACATCTTCACGTGTGGTGCTCCTCCTAGCGTTACGATGTGAAATAATTGACTCCCAGGTGAGGGGGTCGATTTGACACTTTTTCAGGTTTGTCTTAAGACTATCCACACACACACACACACATGCAAGTAGTAGTAGTAATAATAATTATTATCATTATTATTGCTTTTATTATTATCATTATCATTATTATTATTATTATTATTATTATTATTATTGTTATTATTATTATTATTATTATTATTATTATTATTATTATTATTATTATTATTATTATTATTATTATTATTATTATGCTGCAAAAGGGGTGATCCTAATGGCCAGTACTGGTTGGGCGCTGTTCGTGACCCTGATGACGTCAACAATTGGAAATGGATTGATGGTACTGACGTGACCGTGTCGTTTTGGAACCTGCCTGGCGGAAACGAAAACTGTGCTCGGTTTGATGGCACGAAAGGCTGGCTTTGGTCAGATACCAACTGTAATTTCGACCTTAACTTCATCTGTCAACATCGTAAGTATAATGGCTTATGCTTCTGTAAAGTGTTTTCATTATGACGTCATGGTTCCGTAAGCTCCTGATTGGGTGAAATTGCATTATGCCAGCCAATCAAGATGCTCAAAGACATCGGGATCATTTGGGAAATATAATTCTCAAACTACTTTATTTTTATAATTTGGGTGTACTACCTCCTGGGATGATATTGGGAGCATAATGTATTGTCTAATGGTAGACCCTGCTGCCATATGGCATCATGAAAAGTGTGGTCAAGTCCCAGATTGCTGATCTGACTGACTGCCTCATTTACACACAATTGTAGTTCTCAATTGTTTCTCTTACTTTGTATTTTTTTGAGGTAAAATGTTTCTTCTTTAGGTTTTCCTCGACCCCCTAGACCCCGATGTGGGTCGGTGCCCTGTGCCCGGGTGGGCCAAGTCCCTATAAAACATTAATAACATTAATAATATATGAAAAATAGCAATATATATATATATATATATGAAAAATAGCATATATATATATATATATATATATATATATATATATATATATATATATATATATATATATATATATATATATATATATATATATATATATATATTTCATGTAGATCCACAATGAAAACGTGGATAAGATAAATCTTGATAAAATCACACAAGGAAAAGGGAAACAATGGAGCACCTTAGCTTTCGTCTTTATTCAAGACATCTTCAGAGAAACGAAACTAATATTTTATCATATATATATATATATATATATATATATATATATATATATATATATATATATATATATATATATATATATATATATATATATATATATATATATGGCAAAAGGAACGTAGTACAGAGGATCCCTGACCACGAACACCTACCACGAACCTCATCTTTACTCACACCTATACATGTCACCTACAGGACCCCAAACATGCGGTAAGCCAGAACAACCACCCAACTCTACGATGGTCACCGCCAACTACAACGTCGGAACAGATGTAGAATACCGTTGTGATCCTGGGCACTATCTAGTTGGACCTGCTCAAAGATCATGTCTTGACTCCGGCTTCTTCAACGAGTTCCCTCCAACCTGTAGATGTGAGATATATCCCCCACCATGGCGTGTCTTCCTGTGTTTGTTTTGGTTGTGAAGATCATTCAGGATTCCATGTTTTGGATCGCCTGAAGATTCACCCTTCAGCTAATTTCAGATCATTAAAACACCTTAACGCTACATCGGGATAGGTTAGGTTAGGTTAGTTAGGTTATTGTATTATCCACCATAGTTTCTCACCATTATTCACCATAGTTTCATTCCATCATCCACCATAGTTTCAGTCCATTACCCACAGTAGTTTCACCACATTATCCACCATAGTTTCACACCATTATCCACCATAGGTTCATACCATTATCCACCATAGTTTCACACCATTATCCACCATAGTTTCACACCGTTATCCACCATTATCCGCCATAGTTTCACACCATTATCCACCATAGTTTCACCACATTACCCACCATAGTTTCACACCATTACCCACCATAGTTTGACGCCATTATCCACCATAGTTTCACATGATTATCCACCATAGTTTCACACCGTTATCCACCATAGTTTCACACCGTTATCCACCATAGTTTCACCACATTACCCACCATAGTTTCACACCATTACCCACCATAGTTTTACGCCATTATCCACCATAGTTTCACATGATTATCCACCATAGTTTCACACCGTTATCCACCATAGTTTCACCACATTACCCACTATAATTTCACCCTATCGTCCTCTCCCTGACAGACGTGGAGTGCGGTCCACCAGCTCCCATCCTCAACGGCGGCTACTCCCTCGTAAACGAGACCCGCACCTACCTCAGCATTGTGAGGTATGACTGTGACCCTGGGTTCATCCTCATCGGCAGACCTGACCTTATCTGTGACATCGACGAGCGCTGGAACGGTCCTCCACCCCGCTGTGAACGTGAGTCTTTGGTTGTACACATGATCAGCTGATGTACCACGTGAGCCTTTGTAAACGCGATCAGCTGACCCGGCCCGTGGTCAAACCCCCCCCATCACACCACACGCTTCTTGTCCACTTGTGAGATCTTTACTTTCAGTCATCTATTAGACATAAACCTTACATTCTACTGAGGAAATATGACCTTTGCCCTTTTATAATGTAGAAGGGAATATTTATTAAGGATTTTGAATAAGTTTCTTCCATTGAGTTACGATGGTATATATATATATATATATATATATATATATATATATATATATATATATATATATATATAGTGTTAAGACTCCTATACATACTGTCTACTAATCACCACTAATATTATGATCATGATAGGTCTTCTTAACTCTGAATTATCTAAGATTTAACTCTATAACCACAATTGTTGTCTCAAAGTGTTCCTGTATGTGTGTGTGTGTTTGTGTGTGTGTGTGTGTGTGTGTGTTTGTGTGTGTGTGTGTGAGCCTTGGTGTAATTAACAAGATCTTTTATTCCTTAAGACCATCTTGTTTGACGTTTTATTTACTCTTCTATATTTGAGGTAACTCACACGTCTTCTTTAGGAATAATCATATTTCTTTAGTATTCTGTATAATAATGAATGTCTAATTTTAATTGGATTTTATTGTCAAATTTCCCGTTCTTAATTATCTTGACACTTATTGACAAAATTTAATGCATTCTTTTAGTTAATTCACTTAATAATGACAGCAAGTATTTCTGTTAACAAAATTGACCTTGAGTTGACAAATATTTATTGAATTTCATATTGACCATTTACTGACATACAAAAAGATGAACACATGTGACGTGTTTATTGTTGATCTGTTGACCTATAGTTACTTCTTGCCCCTGTCTTAATGTTGACATGACATCTTGCCCCTTGACAATTATTGCCCTATTGCCCATAGGCATGTATTGACCTCTTCCCCTTTAATATATATTGAGCAATTGTCCCTTTTCATGTGTGTATTGACCTCTTGCTATTAAATGAGAGTGATGACGGAAACACCTTGCCCCTGTAACCCACTACTGACATATCTTTGACCACTTGCCCCTGTATCTGAGTGTCGGGTCATCCTACAGCGGTGACCTGTGACGCCCCAGCTCCCATCCTTCACGGGTCCTCCAACTTCTCCTCTCCTACTGTTGATGCCGCGGTCACCGTCAACTACTCCTGCGACGAGGGTTACGTGTTAGTTGGTCCACGATACATCACCTGCACGGCTGAGGGCACCTTCGACCAGGAACCCCCACTGTGTCAAGGTAACCAGGTCGTCAAGAGGGGAGTTACCTGGGAGTTAGTAATGAAGGGACTTAACTGTTGATCTACTTGCTGTGTTGGTAGTGAGAGGACCTACCTAGCACCCACTCTAAACCGAGCTCGGACCGGTGCGGCGTACCTCCGGCCCTTCCGTTGTATGGTCAGCACTGTTGTATGGTCAGCACTGCTGTATGGTCAGTACTGTTGTATGGTCAGCACTGCTGTATGGTCAGCACTGCTGTATGGTCAGTACTGTTGTATGGTCAGTACTGTTGTATGGTCAGCACTGCTGTATGGTCAGTAGTGTTGTATGGTTGGTGCTGCTGTATGGTCAGTAGTGTTGTATGGTTGGTACTGCTGTATGGTCAGTACTGTTGTATGGTCAGTACTGTTGTATGGTCAGTACTGTTGTATGGTCAGTACTGTTGTATGGTCAGTACTGTTGTATGGTCAGTACTGTTGGTGTTGTATGGTTGGTACTGCTGTATGGTCAGTACTGTTGTATGGTCAGTACTGTTGTATGGTCAGTACTGCTGTATGGTCAGTACTGTTGTATGGTCAGTACTGTTGTGTGGTCAGTACTGTTGTATGGTTGGTACTGCTGTATGGTCAGTACTGTTGTATGGTCAGTACTGTTGTATGGTCAGCACTGTTGTATGGTTGGTACTGCTGTATGGTCAGTACTGTTGTATGGTCAGCACTGTTGTATGGTTGGTACTGCTGTATGGTCAGTACTTCTCTATGATCGGTACAGTTGAACGGTCGGTGCAGTTGTATGGTTAGCACTGTTGTATGGTCGTCACTGCTGTATGGTTAGTACTGTTGAATGGTCGGTACTGTTGTATGGTCGTCACTGCTGTATGGTTAGTACTGTTGAATGGTCGGTACTGTTGTATGGTAAGTACTGTTGTATAGTCAGTACTATTTGTATGGTCGGTGGCGACCTGTAGAGTAATGATCAGCATCCTCGCCTCGCAAGCGAGCGGACCCGAGTTCGATCCTCGGGCAGAGTGAACTATGGGCAAGTTTCTTTGCGACATTTGCCTCTGTCTGCCCAGCAGTAATTTGCGGATCGGATTCTAGGGTAATGGTTAGCCAGTGCAGTTGGCGAGTTGTCCGGTCTTCTCGGGCTATTCCTTGACACTGGGTCATGCAGCTCGTTAACTTAGGGTGTGGTTATTGTGTTGGCCTTAGCTTCTACACCTTAAACAAATTCACGCCTAGATGGCCCTTGGGCCGGTTACACGAGGGGCAACCATTATGGACGGTACTGCTGCATGGTTAGTACTGTTGTATGGTCAGTGCTGTTGTAAGGTCAGTACTGTTGTATGGTCAGTACTGTTGTATGGTCAGTGGGTGTAATAGTCAGCATGCTCGCCTCGCAGGTGAGTGGTCCCGGGTTTGATTCTCGAGCAGAGTGAATGTATGGGTAAGTTTCTTTACAGACTGGGTTCCCAAATTCAAAAGCGACTTATTTTTGAGTTGGTTCACCCCGAGAGGCATTTTCTTCTTAAGAGGATGCTTTGTGAACATTTTTTGCCCGGGTGTAGATCTCTAGGTGTGTGCACGCCCTCACAATCACAATATTTTTGTTTTGCATTACTGCCATTTTTCCTAGTAAGAGAAAAACTAATGCCCTTCACATGTGGTAATTTAGTCGTAAAATAATCAAAAGGTGCATTCAACCAAATACACACTGATCGGGCGCAAGAGCATGTTAACAAGCCCTTCAAAGGTGCAGGTGGAACAGTAGGTATAAAATGTGCAAAATCTCCTATTAACCATTGGATGCTTAGCTGCTGTGAGTGCTATAATCTCTCGACTTACAGAAGATATACTGTACGACTACAGCCTGGTTTTTCAAACGCAGAAAGAGCTTGGCGATCAACGTTTATCGAGGGATGAAGACGAGGTCAAGAAAATTTCCAAGAAGCTACGGGATTTCAATTCTTTTGAAAGGGATAACACAGAGGCTGATTTGTTAACTGCTGTGGAACGAGGCAAAGTCCTGTTGAAGACATTCATCAAGAGCCGGCTTGAGCAGAAACATGATGAAAATTTCTTTAATGTCATTCCCAAGAACAATTACAAAACCTTTGCATCACTTTCCAAGAAACAAGAGGGAATTACGTAAGGTCAAACAAAAGTTATGAAAGCTGATCGTGACCTATTCAGGCGGTTTCTCAGTGCTTCACCAAGTGGTAGATAAAATATTTTTTCACTGTTGCTTCAGCATAAATTATCACTAGTGCAGCTTGCTCTTGCAAAGTTTGATGGAAAGCCCAGAAAACCAGGTAAGGCCCCACTCTCCCATATATTAGCAAATGCACATGAAGTAAGGGAATTGCCAGCAACAAGTGAGCCAACCTGTGTACTTGTTGATGGTATGGCATTTTGTTCAAGCCTTGGGAAAGCCAAGTGAGGCTACAACTTTCGGGGAACTGGCTGATATATTCTGCATGTATATTCTGAGCCTCTTCCGGGAACATGTAGCAGAATTGACGTAATATTTGATTCCTATTGAAACTAAAGGGTATGGCACTATTCCATCAAATCTGGCACTCGAATGCAACGCACAAGCCAAGGAAGAAAAATACGGAGAATCGTCGACTCTAGAAATGTACAGCTAAAGAAATGGCACAATTTCATAAACCTTGATAACAATAAAACCAATCTCACTCGATTTCTTACCAAAGAGCTTATGGTCCATGCCGAAAATCTTCCTTTGGACCAGGAACTTGCTGTTGCTGGAGGATGTAAAAAATTCTGAAACTGTTGTCTCATCATCACCAGTGCCCAAGAACCGCTTGTAGTCCTCCGCGGAAGAGGCAGATACTAGGTTGGTCCTTTATGGATTAGATGCTGCTGCTGCTCAGAACAACTATCATAGACTTGTTGTTTATAGTCTGGACACTGATGTGTTGGTACTTTTTACCCATCATGTTACCACTGATGAGGTGTTAATGCAAGCTGGTACACCAAGGAAACCTAGGTTTATGCCGGCGCATGAAGTAAGGCAGTCACTCTCCCCATTTTTTTTTGGTGGGGGGGGCAACTTGCCAGCGTTCCATGCAGTCACTGGATGTCACACTATTAGTCAATTTAGTGGTAATGGAAACACGTCAGCCTAGGCAACTTATGTCTCCCATCCACATCTTCTTGACTCATTTTGTGACAATTTTGAGAAATTAACAAAGGATGCTGAGCTATTTGTGATCCAACCTCACATGCAACATCTGTGAATAAACTTCGAGCTGAAATGTTTCATCGTGTGAGCAACCCAGAGAATGTTTCCCCACCAAATATTTTTTTAGAACTACATTTCAGACGATACCAACACCAAATTGCAGTCTGGAAAAATTCAGTAACTGTCAGACCAGGTATAAGAAACCCAGAAGAATCTGGGTGGGAAATGGGTCCAAGCAACACTTCAGTGCCCACGCTGATGCATTCAGATCCAGTACCAAAAATTTACTCAGAGTTGTTAACATGTGGTTGTAAGACTGCAAAATGCACCTCAGGAACATGCACATGCAATGAAACCCATTTGCAATGCTCTCTGGCATGTGGGTGTAGGAGAAACTGTAACAGTCCATTTAATCCATTTTTCTTTGACAGTAACGAAGAGGATTCAGGTGATGAATGATTGACATCAAGGAATATCCTCATGATAAACAACTTGCCCACATGCCTTTGATGCTTTGTTTATAAATTTAAGGTGGCGGAGAAGGATAGATTGCATGATTACCTATGAATGACATAATTGCTCATAAATATCACTTATTTTACTTTGTCTAAATGAACAGTATTTTGATTATTAGCTTACATTTGTATTAGGAGTGATTGCTGTAAGGTGTCATACAGCTTTTGTTAATTTATGACCAGCTAAATTGACCAAGAAACAGTATCGATGGATACTGATAGCTGCCCGCGATACTCTAGAACTTATGGGGTACAGATTTTTGCAAGACAATTAGCCCATTTTTTAAAACATTCAGGGCAGTAAGTCCGAAGAGGAATGCTGAACATCGGGTTACTTTTAATTAACCCAACAAATAGATTTGACAAATCCGCTATTCAAGTTTGATGATCCATTCGTTGGATAAGTTAAAAGTAACCCGATGTTCAGGAATCCTCTTGGAACTTACTGCCCTGAATGTTTAAAAAATTGGGCAAGACATCTTTGTTAATACCGAGACTAAGCACTTATGTTTTGTACTGTGTTTTGGTGGCTAATCATGCATACTTTGATACTTATGTATTGAGCCTGAATGCAACATGAATATAAATATTACAACAATTACTATGTAAGTTAAATATTTTTTTTATATTGAAGACATATAAATCCTTTATGATCAAAGCCCTTTTCAGAATGACTTAATTTTGTTGTCAACTGCTTCGTTTTTAACATTTAGGTGTGTTATTTAGTTGTCTACAATAATATATTTGTGTATTATAAAATATGTTCATGACCGAAAATATCCCGTAATTCGTCATAATTGTGTTGTGATCAAGCTACGCACACACTTAAAAATCTACAACCGTCCTGGGACGGTCCACTGGGGTCCAGGCAATGTAAAAAATAAGGTCGTAGCTTTATTCCTCTCGGGGTGAACGAAACTTCCCGAATGGGTAACCCGGACCCTAGACTATTGCGTCATTTGCCTCTGTCTACGCAGCAGTAATTGGGAACCTGGATGTTAATCGATTTGCGGATCGTGTTCCAGGGTAATAGATAGCCAGTGCAGTTGGCGAGTTGTCCGGTCTGCTCGGATTATTCCTGAACACTAGATCATGCAGCTCGTTAACTCAGGGTGTGGTTGTTGTATTCAACAAATTCACTCGTAGGTGACCTTTGGGCCGCGAACACCAGGAGCAACCATTATTATTATTATTATTATTATTATTATTATTATTATTATTACTATTACTATGGTCAATATTGTCAGTACTATTGTATGGTCATATGGATCACAAGCGTAAGCACTTTCAACAGTCATTAGAAGGCCTTTAAAATATGGTGCTACAGGAGAAAGCTAAGATAAATTATATTGACAAGAAAAAAATGACGAAGTGCTAAGAAAAAAAAATAAAGAGAATTACTTGAAATATATAAAATAAGGATAATTTGATATTTAACCATATAATTAGAAGTGAGGAGACAATGATAGAAGTATTAATGGACAGGATAGGATAGCCAGTGGAAGACAGACTGAGACATACGAATGAAATTAAAAATTATGGTCCCCGGAGAGATACAACATCAAGGAGGATTGGTAAACACTGAATGGAGGGCCGTAGTCGCCAACCCTTAGAATGGGGATGGTCGGAAGTTCGTCTGGCGTAGATGTTTTTATTGCTAGAATGAGGAAGAGAAGGTACTATTGCCATAGGTGTATATAGAAGGAGACAAAAGTTGGATTACTTTGACTGAGTTATTGTGAGATGGTGAGGCTCGCCAGGCGCTGTCCACTGCTCGTGCTGGTGATGATTTTAATTTTCGTTTTCTTCTTTTCTTATTTTTTTTTATTTCTTAAACTGTATTAATAACTTTTGACGTACATACACAACTTACATTACTTACTCTTGCAATTTACACTCTATGGATATTAAGGTAAGCCCCTGACTACTTAATTGCACATCTACACAATTTACACGGACAACATACACTGCATGGACATATCTTCACCTTACGACTAATTAACCCACTTAATTTACACCTGCTAATGCTCAACTTCCACACCTGTAAATATTATCACCTTACTCAGGACAGCTTCGTTATATCACCCGGAAACATTCAATTCCTTGTAAATTTTGAAAACAAACAAATAAATGGGTGATATTTATTTATTTTTTATTATTAATATTTTTTCTTCATATTTTTTTATTTATATTTTTAATTTTATTTTATTTTTCTTAGGGCAGACTTTTCAACTATATTTTTTGTGTGATTCTCTTTTGCTTAAGGGAAAATTTTTTGACTTCCCACCTCCTTATAACTTCCAATCTCATTGGCTTAGCTCACACCCTTGTTTCACTTGGTGTTTCTATTCACTCACCACCAGTCTCACCCAATGATGTCCCAAGTGTCACTCACTGGTAACATTCATTAATCTCACCATCTGATCACATTGTTTCCACTGAGCAATTTCATCCAGTAACCTCACCCAATGATCTCATTAATTTCGCTCATTGATCTAATATCACCCAATGATCTTATTAATTACATCCGCTAATCTCACACCACTAATCACACTTATCTTACTCCACTGATCTCATTAATCTCACCACACTGATCTCAGTAACCTCACCCACTAATCTCACTCACACACTCAGTGGACGCAGCAGTGAAACCAGAACTCCCTGAGACACGATTTGGTGAATCCAATCGAGCGGGTGCCGGAGGTCGACCTCGACGTCCCCATCGCCCTGGACAGCGACAGCGGCCTCCATACCTGACCGACGGGGGAGACAACACCGTGGAGGCCAGCAACCCGGGCCTGGAGACCGTCGTACCTTCCCTAGAGGCCGGGGACAACAACAAGATAAACAAGATAAATAATGACAGAGGCCAGAGTGTAGATGGTCCGAGTTTTGATCTCAAGGAAGAAGACGGCATCAAAGTCACCGAGAAACTCCATCTTGGTAAGTCAAGGGAGTAAGGATGCAAGGAGAGCGAAGAGAAGGAGAGATTAGGGAGTAAGAGGAAGGGAGTAGAGAGTAAGAAGAAGGGACGGGGGAGAGAGGGAGAGAGTAGGGAGTACAGGGAGGGAGTAGGGAGTAAAGGGAGGTAGTAAAAGGGGAAGAAGTACAATTGTGGAGAAAGGAGGGGTAAGGAGTACAGGGAGGGAGTAAAGAGGAAGGGACTAGGGAAGAGGGAGATGGGGAAGGGAATAAGATGTAGAAGAGGGAGTAGGGAATAGAGGGAAGGGGTAGGGAGTAGATAGGGAGCTATGAAAAAGGAGTAGGGAAGAGAAGAAGGGAGTAGAGGGACGGAGTAAGGAGGAAGGGAGGGATTATGTAGTAGAGGGAGGGAGTAAGGAGAAAGGAACTAGTGAAGAGAGACAGGGTAAAGAGAATAGAAGAAGGAAGTAGAGAAGAGAGAAAAAGTAGGGATGAAATGGGGTGAGTAGTGAGGAAACGGAAGTATATGAAGAAGAGCGACGGATTAGGGAGGAGAGGTAGGGATTAGGGAGTAGAGAGACGGAGTGGGGAGTAGATGGAGGGACTAAATGGAAGAAGTAGGGAGTACAAGGAGGGAATAGGGAGTAAGGAAAGAATCCGCGAATAAAAATCGTCTCCATTTTCTCATATACATTGTAAACAAAGTCATCCAATTCATGACGTCATATGTAAATAAAGGTTCCTCTACGACTATTTTACTGTACCACCACGATACATCTTTCCCCCTCACCCGCACGCCTACTCCTCACCCACACGTCGTCCTGCCTCACTCACCCCACACGTCCTGCCTCACCCACACGCCTCACCCACACGTCGTCCTGCCTCACCCACACGTCGTCCTGCCTCACCCACACGTCGTCCTGCCTCACTCACACGTCATCTTGCCTCACCTACACGTCTCCTCCATCACCCACGTCGTCCTCCATCACCCACACGTCGTCCTGCCTCACCCACGTCGTCCTGCCTCACCCACACGTCGTCCTGCCTCACCCACACGTCATCTTGCCTCACCCACGTCGTCCTGCCTCACCCACACGTCGTCCTGCCTCACTCACACGTCATCTTGCCTCACCTACACGTCTCCTCCATCACCCACGTCGTCCTGCCTCCTCACCCCACGTCGTCCTGCCTCACTCACGTCATCTTGCCTCACCTACACGTCTCCTCCATCACCCACACGTCGTCCTGCCTCACCCACACGTCGTCCTGCCTCACCCACGTCATCTTGCCTCCCCCACACGTCGTCCTTCACCCACGTCGTCTTGCCTCACCCACACGTCGTCCTGCCTCACCCACGTCGTCCTCCTCACTCACGTCATCTTGCCTCACCTACGTCGTCCTGCCTCACCCACACGTCGTCCTGCCTCACCCACGTCATCTTGCCTCCCCACACGTCATCTTGCCTCACCCACACGTCTGCGTCCTCCCACAGGTGGTATCATCGCTCTAGGTGTCTTCGGCGGGTTCGTCTTCCTCGCTGCTGTCATCACCACCATCGTCATCCTCGTCAGAAGGTCAGTTGTAATGCCCACACTTGCTGCCCACAACACACAGTTAATGCCCACACTTGCTGCCCACAACACACAGTTAATGCCCACACTTACTGCCCAAAACACATAGTTAATGCCTACACTTACTGTCCACAGCACACAGTTAATGCCCACACCTGCCCACAGCACACAGTTAATGCCCACATTACTGCCAACAGCACACAGTTAATGCCCACTTACTACCCACAACAAACACAGTTAATGCCCACACTTACTGCCCAAAACACATAGTTAATGCCTACACTTACTGTCCACAGCACACAGTTAATGCCCACAGCACACAGTTAATGCCCACATTACTGCCAACAGCACACAGTTAATGCCCACACATACTGCCCACAACACACACACTTAATGCGCACACTTACTGCCCAAATCACACACAGTTAATGCCCACACTTACTGTCCACAACACACACAGTCAATGCCCACACTTACTGCCCACAATACACACTTAATGCCCACACTTGATACCCATAACACACAGTTAATGCCCACACTTACTGCCTACAACACACACAGTTAATGCCCATACTTACTGCCCGCAACACACACAGCTTATGCCCATAGTTACTGCCCACAACACATACAGTTAATGTCCACAGTTACTGCCCACACTTGTTACCCACAACACACACCTTATGGCCACAGTACATTTAATACTCACTAAATACACTTAATGTCTACAACACACACACACACACACACACACACACACATTTCAGAAGCTGGATAATACTTACCGCTATTTCTCAGTCTATTTAAGTTCACTTAAGATAATATGTTAAACTGTATACATTTTAAAGATTATGGCAGAAACTTACAGTATATGCTTAGGAACATTAATTGTTTTTTGTGTGTGTTTATTACTTATATTGGATGAGAGTTGTTTGTGGTTCGTAATAAAGGAAGTCTTGATCCGTTCTCTATATCAGGACCGGGAACAAATTTCAGTGAGGAAATGATTTTCATATTATAAAATATATTTCTCAAAGATTCGTCTGTTTTAGCTTTTTTTCCCCATAATGAGGTTGATTATATGTATTCACTTATGATGACGTTTCAATATATATTTAACCCTTTGGGAACTATGGCTTTGCCCTTTGAGGACGACGCTTGAAACCCTTTAGTACAATGACTTGCTTTACCCTTTTGTCTCCCAAAGGGTTAGAGCATCTCCCTCATAGCGTTAACAAGTATCTTCCTCAATGGGTTGAGGCCTCGTCCTCAAAGGTTTAAAGTCATTTTAGACAAGTGTTTTATTGTTGTTGTTGTTCTTTGTGTGAATCAGTTAGATGTGTCCCTACTTTATAAGTTACTTGAAATTTTGACATACGAATCTTTGACAATCTTAATTGCGTTCTCTAACTCATAATTTGCTTTAGCGTCTTCATTAGCAGCTAACATACAGTAACTGCTTGCTGCATGCACACCCAACTGATAGACACAGAAGCCACAACTATCAAGAATTATCCACATTTAAGTGTTAATGACATCAACGTATAATAGGGTATAATTGATTTAACAGATAACACTAACAACTAATGTAATATCTTGTTAACTGACTTGAAGTGACAACTGTTAAGTAAACAATCCAACCTTTATTTATTTAAAATTTCCATGTGATTATCCATAACTTCCTTTGTTATATGATGATGTGTAATAGTAACTATTCTTTGTATACCAAATGGACTTGACTCAAACTTCCATGGCGGTAAATGACATGTAGCCAGGCCTTGTTACCTCTCCCTTCTGGCCGTGCCTGTCTCGCTGCCACAGGTCACTGGTCCTCAATTCCACCTCCCACACACACACACACACACACACACATCTCGTCACCAGCGTCACGCTATCGTGTTCACCAGACTTTTTTGTTTTCATTCGTGTCTATTTTTCATATCTTGACATACTGTTTTTATTTTTGTTTGTGCCTCTGTAAGAATATGTGCCTGTATTGTGCTGACTTGTTTTTACTGTTTACACAACAAGATAATGCAGCTCGTTTTTGTCTATGTTCAATTGTTCATATGACATCATTTAAGTACACGACACAAGTATGATCTGCATAAAATATTTCTCAAACTGTTGTATGAGTTTTTCTTGTGTGTGTGTGTGTGTGTGTACATTTTCTTCACGAATACCTGGGATGTGTGCAAGGCGTGACAGAAGGCTGAGGCCCCAGCTCCCTCGTCTCGCCCTGCTCATCTAAGTGCTCTCTCAGTACGTCGACGCCGCTCGACAAAGAGATGCGGACGTCGACGCCGCTGCCTGGTTCGCGCTGGTATACTCTGCTGGCCCTGCCCTTCCCCGACGTGACGGTGGGCAGGCGTGAGTTGCTCTCTCGCGCCACACCTCGAGCTGATCATTATTCTAGTCACTAACACTCCATCCCGCCCACCTCACGCACCAACAACTCGGGCTACACCTTTCCAAGAGGCCAACTTCCCCTGCTGCCTATCCGTCGGCCCTGCAACGCTCAACTGATGCCCTCCTGATTGTCACCGCGCCACGTGATGTAATAACCTGCGGGGCCTCAGTGTACGTTCTTCATGCTCTGTACCTCCTGCACTCCTGCGCTTTTCACACCACTCCTGATTTACTTTTTATTGCACAGTATAGCACAGAATATCATCATGTCTTAACTGTTACTCTTGAACCAAGACTTTAAGACTGTCAAGATCTTGTAAAAGGTTGTCTCTTCACTTTAATCATTGCCCTATAATACTTAGACAGGTTAATATTGGTTTCTCGACTCGACTCTCCTTTATCTGATTTTTTATATACTTAATTAAAACTCGCCAAACATTTCACTACCTGTACTAACACTTAATATTACTGTAAACAAATTCCTGGTAGTTATTCTGTCGATCAGAGTTCTCCATTAAAAGTAAACCGTTTTCTTTGAATCTCCCTTTGGTTATAAAAGGGAACTAACATATTTATATTTACAAGTAACATCTATATAACCACGCGGAATTCCGCAAAGTAAAAAAGTAAAAAGGCCGAATAGTCTCGTATAGTGATATAGCATTTTAATATTATTACTATGATTAATGGACTATCTACCAAAAAAGTACCTAAAAATATTTGTGTGGTTCATTATTATTGTTACACTTTTCAGCAAGTTGTCCAGAAGACGTATCTTTATCCTGTATATACTGTATGACTGTATATACAGACTTTACTTACTAACATAAGTATTTAGATATTAGTTAATTTATTCAGGTCTTAATTAGTGCTTCATGGAAATAAAATGCCGTTCAGTATTTCGACAATATCACGTACTGGACTCATGACTCGTGTTCTTGTACACCTGCTGCTGTAGTAATTGTTGTAGTGTTGTAGTCTAAGCATATATATTGTAGTATATTAATTAGCCACAAGATACGCTATTTTATTATTCTGTAAGATCCAAAATTTAAAGTGTAACCTGTGTAGCGTATTATGGCTTCTTAATATATGATGGCACTGTAGTGTATGAGTTTGTGAAAGAGACCGCTTATAGTATAGTAGCACCTCCGTATATATGCAACGTAATACATGATAGTAGCCTTCTGCACACTTCACACTCCATACTGTTCTTAAGTCTGTTCAACAATTTACGCTTTAATCTTCACTGAAATTATTTATAAACATCTGCCGGCACCTAAATTTCATTGGCAAAAACTACCACTAGTGGATGATTGAGTCAAACGGTCTTAGATTAAATATGTAGACCAAACACATCTATTGTAGGGCATTATTTAGCAATTGATGACTGCAGATAAATATTAAATGAATATCACTGTCAGTTTTCTGTGTTAAACACTACAAAAAAAATTCTATGGAAAACATTACAGAACTGTGTTAAACACTACAAAAACAAAATTTTCTATGGAAAACATTACAGAAACACCATTTTCGATAGTAAACATTATAGGAATACCTTTGTCTATGGTAAACACTACGGAAACACATTTTCTCACTTTCTACATTATCTATTCATTCGCAAATAAACCAACACTCTTTTCTGCCTTTGAACCTTCAGTTGTTATTCTGTCAAAATCCACACCTGTCACACCTTGATTATATAAGAATGTGAGTGAAACGTGTGTGTGTGTGTGTGTGTTTGTTTAGATATCCACCGGGTGATGGGCTTTACTTGATGATTTCGCGGGACCTGTGGTAGAGTAGTTAGCAGGAGGTGGCTAGCGGGACAGACAGTAGTGTTGTTGCTGGAGGAGGTGAGGTACACCTGTTTTCCCACACATACACACACACACACACACACTTCTTTCTAGACAACGTCACATAAGACTGCTGACTCAGTCACTTGTCTTGCTGAAGTCATTATATAGTCGGGATTTGAAGTCCCAATAAGACATTTATGCACGACATATAGTTACCCTGTAAAGCCAGACACTGTACCTGCGGGCCAAAGACTGCCATGCACGTTGTGATGATGTAGATGAGCCTGAGTGCTTGAGGGCCCCAGTACCGTAGGCTGTCACACCTGTAAACCTCCCCAGCTTCGGCCCTCACCTGTAGATAGCTTACTAACACGCTCACTAACTCTAACTTACAGGTCCCGCGAATTGTAAGGTGTTAGAGAGGCCCATGTAGAGTCATGAGTCCCGTACCGTGAGTGTTGTAATGACGCTCCTATGATGATTGTTGACCACTCCGCTTCACCCAGGACTCAGCATGCACCATCCAAGAAGTATGTGCGTCGCAGTGATGACGGCACCGCCTCCTCCTACGACTCCTCCTCGTCTGACGGCCACGGCCTCAACAAGTACTACAAGAGAGCGTGGGAGAACCTACGTGAGGGAGGCGGCGGCGCCGGCAGCAGTGGAGGGGAACTGGAGAAGGGAAGTCACTCTCGTCTCGGCCGCACGGAAACCCTCGACCAACCAGACTTCAGGTCCACACGCTCAATGGGTCATGAGGGACTCCGCGACGGCTCCGAGATGACAGTGAACGATGTGGCTGCCATGTACACCCGCCCTGAGAAGCGGCGCCATCACCACCACCACCACGGTCACCGCCACAAGGGAGGGCGTGAGGGAGACCGTGAGCACCATGACCGCCATGACCACGACCGCCATGACCAAGACCGCCATGAACACCAGGATCGTCACGATCGCCAGGAGCGCTCAGAACGTCATGACCGTCACGACCGCGACTGGCGAGATCGTGACCGCAGGAAGTACTAAAGGATCATCGGCTGAACACACTGAAATCAACGCAACATATATACGACCAAAGCTCCCAGGACAGAGGAACCAGAGGAAGATAGAGACCACCCAGTGCCCACTAGCGACCTCCTCATTCTTTAATGGTCTCTTGTTCAGGCAATGTTGTGTCTCTCGGCTACCGTGTAGCAACAACTGCAAAAACCTGAAGTGTGGCTGACATCTCGTGTAGCGTAGAAATGTATTTCATAATTGCACATTTCTTACTCCGTTATTGATCACTTGGTATGTATTGCAAGGTAAGCGAGAGACTATAAGTTTGCGCATTTCCTCCCCCAGTGTTCGAACGATAAAGTCGCCATTGCTGGTAGAAAAAGAGAAAATCTGACGTAGCTTCCACCTAATGTATGATTGCGGGGAGGAAAGCCCCCACCCCCACCCCTAAGCGATGTTTTATAGTACGGGCCTAAGAGTTTCCGAGGGCTTGCTCGTGGGCAACACGGAGTCTAACTACTAGCTGAAATTGGTTTCTCTCAAGACATAGAACAAAATAATCAGCTCTTATCATGAGGTGGCCTTAAAATGAGTGTCTTCCTCCTCCGGGAATTTCCAGACTTTCTGTAAATCATCTGGTGAATATAGCTTGAGGAGAGCAGGCTTGTGTTTACCTTGGGACTGAGTAGTTTTCCCTCTTAATCTTGGCGCTTGACACACTTTGTAACCCAGTTATTAACCTCCTTTATTAAATTATTCTTTCATTATATAGACTTTTGTTCTATTAAGGTTGATTTTTTTCACCCCAATTTGCTCAGAGCAGCTTAATCCCTGGCAGACCAGCTCAGTAGTCTTAACTTCCTTGTAAGGTGTTTTCCTGCTACACAGCGCTTATATCTGCCGCTGTCCTGGACTTTCACCCAATTTTGAGGAAATAACCTACTGACAGCCTTACTCAGTAATGTTTACTCTTCAGTACATTATAGAGACCTGCGACTCACCTCAACACTCGCCACCACCTCACAGCTCCACAAGGCCGTCTACAATGTGTCGTTCATGATGTTTGTTATCGCTGGTGTACGTGGCGTCAGCCGTTTCTTGTTGATCCTTCACATAATTGTTTTGTTGATATGTATTCCACTTTCTCTGAAGGGCTTATACTTGATAGGTTGTTATAGATTTTACTACGTCATATTTAGCATTTATTTATTTTATTGTTAATTGAGGAGAAGCTTTCTATTTTATTAGGGTGAATCAGGTAGTTCTGTGCACCTGTTTCAGCCTTGTCATTACTCAGACAAAGTCTTTTATTATTATTACAAGGAGTTGTGGCCCAGTATTTCACTCTTCTCCTGCACCAACGATTACCGGTTCGAGTCTCGCGGCTGGTCACTAAGAGGAGCGACCCCAGTCGACCCAGCAGCACAATGAGTGCCTAACTTAGCAGTTGAATAAGTGAATACGGCAGTTTGTAATACCGACCACGCAATCCCGTGTGTACCGAAGGCTTAATCTTCAATGTGCTGATCCGCACTCCCCTTAACTGGCCGTCTGTTGTATGAGACCCACTAATACGACAGTTACGTAGCCTAGACAAAACAATAATTCAAAATTCGAGATTTGTTTTGATGTGTCTCTTTTCGTGTGTGATAACACGAGCACAGCTCACTTCATGATATCCCAGGACAGCCCAGCTCATGATATCTGTTCCAACTAGTTCATGAAAAACTCAGCATAGCTTTATCCAGGAGACACTAGCAGTATTTAGAAAACGAGATCACACACATAGATAACCCACGAGTGGCCAGGGCGTCGACACGGCCGCTGGAAACAGGTAGAGCTGTCTTGACTTATATAGAATTGAGTCTTCAAAACGTCGTCGTATTTATTCCCCACATAGCTTATATATATATATATATATATATAATATATATATATATATATATATATATATATATATATATATATATATATATATATATATATATATATATATATATATATATATATATATATATATATATATATTTACATTTTGTAAAGATATTCTTGGTCTTTATTACACCGGGACGATCCATATACAGTACCAGCATATTAATAAAACAAAATTCAAATCAGGTTAAATATAAAAATCCAACAAAATGTTGATGTTTGCATAATACATTGAAGTTCTCGTTCCTCTGTGACTTTAACTTTTAAATTTATTTAATTTCTTCCTAACGCTGGGCTTGGCCTGTTGTGCCAATAACGTCTTGCAATGTTTTTTGTATCAGTCATTCATATACAAGACATTTCTGAAGCACATTATTTAGAATATTTTTAACGTGTGTTTTAGTAATCTAGTTTATCATTTTGTCACTATGTAATTATTATTGTATTTCTCTGAGTGTAGTCTTTGGAGGCATTAATATTTATTTCTTATTGGATATTTTTTTTTGCTTTATGTAGATGATGATTTATAATAATATAATGTATGTAAATGTTGTACTTGGTCTCAGCGTTTACTGAAGGTGTGTTGAGAGGGATTCCCACGATGCATTACATAACGTGTAGTAGATCCTTGTTATTAGTCGTAGTCTTAACTCGGTGAATATTGTTATTATTCATTCATTATCTTACACTGTATGCAATCTTCGTTTGTACTTTAGTGAGAGTTTCTCAGCAATAACATTAACGTTATATGTGTAAATGAGTAATAAAGAATGTATTACGCTTGTTGTAATTGCACTATGGCACTGTTTTGTATAAATGACATGTATGATACATAATAAAGTTTATGTATATATTTTGTATTTTATTTAGCTTTAATTAGAATTATTATCTTAGTTTTTTATTTCCTGTATTTATTTACTTTTTTGTTTTATTTATTATTCACATAGTTTACTGACACGACCGCCACAGACTATACTGTAGACTCTTAATTAATAAACTTCTAGATCATTATTAACGTCACCTAGAAGCAGTCTTATAGAAGTAGCTGTAAACTGTAAAACAAACAGGTAACAATACTTCATAAAACCAGATCCTTCCGAGCCTAAAATAACAACACATTAGTTAAGACGAGACCTAGAAATACTCATGTTAGCCTTCACAATAAATCAAACATTTTTGACATTAATCCTCTTTATGGGTAATGTTTATTGGGTCTCATTAAGGTTAGAAACCCCCCAGTTATTTCACCTGATGAGTAAACGACTTAATGCTATACCTTGGGGCAGAGGTTAGGTTTGGGTGTTTAAACCTCCGGTGAAATAAGCTTTTTTTTTTTTACACAAACAGATCAGTCGGAGAAAAGATCTTATCTTGTGATATAACATTACGAACCAAAGAGATGTTGTACTCCATAAGACACGAGATACGTGAGGCTATCAGTAAGAAACACAGGAGTTGGCAGAGATAGTGTAAAATAAAACAAAATAATCCAGAGAGATAGAGTAAACGAAATGGAGAGCCAAAGGAAGATGTAAGGAAAATTCAGAAAGACGAGCAGAAAAGCAGAATCAAGGCAAGGAAAATATCGATTACGAGCCTAATATATGAAACTTGGAAAATGGGAGCAGCTCGGTGGGGAAGGAAGACTCAAAGCAATATATAAAGAGGCCCTCAAAATACATATTGGCTTTTTATGTGATCTTCCGTTAGGCCATAATGACATTTATATTAAAACTTTCTATGATAACATACTAATGATCAGATTAAATGGATCAGGACAGTGGGTTAGTCAGTGATTAAGACTAAAAAGAAAACACAGTATTAATTTTGCGGGAGAAACTCAGTCCGTTACTCGCGTGTTGCTCCGTATTGTTTATCCAGGCACCGATTGATCATTAACTTGCCGCATAAATCAAAGACAGATGTGACAGCTTCCATTACTGCGCTATATACTGTAATTGACAACAGTAAATTATAAAAAAAATTGCACAGCAGGTATATTGAAATGTGTACATGGGTGGATTAACGTTTGCGAGGGTCGGCTATTGAATTAATGACATTTGTAATCCCTCACACTTCTGCTGTTGGACAAAACGTGACATTATAATATTAATGAGCACATATTACCTTCAGGTAGACGTGAAGATAATATTATTATAATGGACACTAAAGCCTCTGTGCTGTGCTGTACCTCGGGCTGACAACATTCCCTGGAGTTGTAATTCTTTATGAAAGATTTATATATACAGTATATATATATATATATATATATATATATATATATATATATATATATATATATATATATATATATATATATATATATATATATATATATATGTATATATATATATATATATATATATATATATATATATATATATAATATACTTTTATATATATATATATATATATATATATATATATATATATATATATATATATATATATATATATATATATATATATATATATATATATATATATATATATATATATATATATATATATATATATGTATATGTATATATGTAACCGGTCGGAATTTATTGGACCTTTAATTTCTCACTTGACTTGGGGTTTATTAAAGATTATTAGATGAAATTGCAGTGGAAGCGCCCCTTTGAGAAAAATCCCGAACAAGCACAAGAACACTTAAATTTACTAACAAAATGAATTGTCCGTGACCCGTGGAAGGATAGCGTCTGTGACTGGGATGAATGAGACACACTGTAAAATTTAGACACTTATATTCCCTCCAACACTACAGACACAATCAAATAATGGTACACCAACATATGTGCACCTCTTAACCTGAACTTAAAACACTACTCTGGGGAATAAAAGTTATACATGATATTGAAATTATTAGAAACTCAGACAATGCCTCATTAGACAACTATAAATTCAAAGTATTAAGAAATGTTGCTTGCGTACATGAAACAGGCCTTAAGGGCTTTCAACAAAATAATATCAATCACTGAGGAAATGGTATAAAAAAATAAGAAATTATTAATTCCACCATGAATAGGCCTAAAGGGCACTCAATAGAATTAGGTTACACCAACAGATGCAGGCCTTGAGGGTTTTCAACAAAATAATATCAATCACTGAGAAAATGGTACTAAAAAAATAAGAAATTAATAACTCTACAGTGAATAGGCCTTAAGGGCACTCAACAAAATTATATCAAGCACTGAGAAATTTGTATAAAAAAATAAGAACTTATTAACTCCACCCTGAATAGGCCTTCAGGGCACTCAACAAAATTATATTACCCCAACAGATACACACCTCCTAACCTAACTTAAACACTACTCTGGGGAACGAAGGTTATACCTGAGATTGAAATTATAAAGAAATATTAAATGCATTAAAGGAACTAAATCACAGTATCACTTACAACATAAGGGAGAAACCTCATCTGACAAACAGTTCCCTCATTCTATGGTTTCAATTAGTGACACAAACATTAAAAACAATACTATCACAATTATTTAAGAAATATTAATTACACACAGCAAGACAATATCAGTATTTGAAAACAATATTATCACTAGATTAAGAAGTTACTGAGTCCACCAATACCCGTAAACACATGCTCCCTAATCTAACACATAGATTCAACATAGATTCCCCGGTCACAGTCATGGGCTCGTGGGCCGTGGGTTCGAATCCTGGCTGGTTGAGGTGTTGATTTATATATATATATATATATATATATATATATATATATATATATATATATATATATATATATATATATATATATATATATATATATATATATATATGCTGATAACCACAAGGAAAGAAGAAAACACGAAGTTCCCAAGCGCTTTCGTATAATTCACATCTTCAGGGGTGAGTATATATATATATATATATCATGTACAGTCTCGTTCAAGATTCTTCGAACACTGCTGGACACAGCTGGCAACACAAGGCCCTTTCTTTACTATGGTAATATAATACGAAACAACAAAGCCCAATCATTAAACTGAGCAACGGGGAACTAAGTATCCAATCACCGATCACTTTTACATCTATTCATAATTTTTACTACGTACTATAATAAAAAAAACGGCCTTGAGTTTATGAGTGACTTATTTGGGATGAATTGCGCAGGGCTTCCATACATACCAAAGTCTGTGTAGCAGGTGACTTTAACTTTAGCCAAATAGATTGGATTGACCTTACGGGTAACTCAGAATCAGAGGATTTTCTTGAAACAATCCAAGACTGTTTCCTAAGCCAACATATAACCGAATCTACCTGGGGTAATAATATACTCGATTTAGTTCTGTCAAACAGAGAAAACCTCATTAGTAATGTCGAGGTAGGGAACAAACTTGCTAACACCGATCACAAAGAAATTATATTCCAATTAGAATTTCAGGGCAGCCGGAAGGAAAATTCCACTCAGGTCCCAGATTTCAGAAGGGCAAACTTTGATAGCTTGAAGAGGCAGCAGAGAGAAGGGGTATCACCCTTGGGGGTGAATTAAATGACCTCACATGAACATAAGAAAATATGGAGTCTGCAATAGGCCTGTTGGCCTGTGCATGGCAGCTCCTCTCTAGAGTTACAACCACTCTCTATCATCCATGAATCTATCTAGCCTCCTTTTAAAACATTCAGCATTCCAGCACTTCCTACAAAGTTGCTAAGCTTGTTCCACTCGTCCACCACCCTATTTGTGAACCAGTTCCTTCCTATCTCCCTCCTAAACCTAAACTTATCTAACTTAAATCCTTTGCTACGCGTCTTATCGTGCTCAGATATTATACAAACTTTATCTATATCTCCTCTATTGATTCCTTTCACCCACTTAAATACTCCTTACACAATTTACCCACAGAGGGCGACCTCACCTTACCTGGAGACCTGACGGTTAAGGATGACCTGATTACGCGATCTCAGGTTGATGCGTTCCACAACAAATTAAATAATGAGTTACTTGATGCACAAAGGCAGAACATACCATACAGAA